AATACTTCCGTCAATTTGGCTGCTTTGGGAGCGGCATGTGATGGCAGTTCGGCTTTTTCGTACCGTGTTAGAGGCTACCAGACTGCTGCTGTACTGTGTTGCAAGATCTCAGCCTGAAACACTGAAATGCTGCTGCCAGCATGTTTTAGCGAAAAGTGGCAGGAATATCAGCTCTTGCCGCTCACTTTACGGATAGCTGTGTAGGTGGTCTCACATTATATCCTGATAACACAGTGCGGTAGTTTGTTTCCAACACGACTGAAAGGTGTCATCCAAATTTATGTGGGCTGTCTAGCTGGTCCTCAAACCTTGACTCCGTAAACGTGTTCCGTTTGTGCACGCACGTGATGCTCAGTGTGATGCTATTGCGTGGATGGCTGATGCGTGGCAAAAAGCCAGCTGGCATTGGTACATAAAATGAGAACACAAGTAAGTTCAGCTTGCCATAGTTCGAGAATCACAATGTTTTCAAACGAAGAAAAGGAAATAAAGGGTCTGGAACTCTACAACATGTAGTTTTAGACTGCCCATTCGGGATGTCATTTTCAGCCTGAAGTGCCCAATGCGAGAAGTAGTGCTAGCACACCGAATGTGAACTACATCGGGCTCTTTCCTTTCCCAGACATTGTGGGCATCGGGCGTCATGGGACGTGTCGTTCACTAGATGACCCAGCGCGTCATGGGACGTGTCGTTCACTAGATAGCCCGAGCTATTTGATCCTCCGACATTTCGTGCAAATGATGCATTTTCAAGATGCCTTTGTGGTCTTAATTTCACGTAAACGGCACCACCGGGTCCTTACGCGGAGCTCAATTCAGACGCTTCAGCTTTCCTGGTAAATTCTCCGAAATGTTTCCGCCTCATGTCAGCACCGTTGCCGGGAAGTTTACGAACTGGTGACTCACGGCGGTCAGAATTGATGACACCTTGGCAGTGTTAGGCCGCGCTGTAACAGAAAGGGCAGCCGGTGCGGGCAGCGCCACCGCCGAGTCACGTCCGCGCTGGCACAGGACCATGGCGAGCTGGCGACGGCGGCGTGGCTTACAAAGACATGGATGCGCGACCGCTGGCCGCCCCGTATGCCTTTAGGGCCTGTCCCCAAGCGCGTGGTCCACGCCGCTTTGACGCCGTCGTGCCGGCGTGGGTGCTAGACAGGGGTGGTGCGCGACACGTGCGAACCTGCAGGCCGGCACAGGACGCGTGTCGGCCGGGCCGGAGGCCTCCTGACCGTGTCGTCGCGTCGCCAGTTTTCTGTCCGAGGGCGAGGCTGCGCGGCTGCGCTGCCGTTGCCGCCCACCGTCTCCATGCCCTTTTGTGGCTGCAGGGGCGCTTAGCTCGTACCTCATCGCCGTCCGCTGCGTGCCCACGCAAGGACCGGCCTGGCTGCGCGCCGACCGCCGCCGCCGCCGCTGCCGCCGCCGCCACTGGGATCCGTATCGATCAGCCTGCAGTGCTCTCGCCGAGTCGCGAATGGATCTCAACGTGTATTGATCTGCGGCCGGGCCGGCCAGATGACGAAGGGTCACTTTTTCGGCGCTGGCCCGCGCGGACGGTGTGCTGCGACGCCGGCGGCGGCGGCCTGTGCGTGAGCGCGCTGCGGGGGCGGGAGGCGGCAGGCGGGGGCTCGTGCAGGGCCAGGCCGGCCAGCTGGCGCCGCGCCGCGCCGCGCCGCGCCGCCATAGCGCCGCCAGCCACCATGTTTGAACAGGGCCGGGCGGCGGCGGTCGGCTGCGGCGTGCCGGCCAGCGGCGGCCGTACAGTCGTGCTCTGAGTGGTGCGCGCGAGTCTGGTGCTGTGCGCTGACACTGGCGCCGGTCGGACGGCGGCCGTACGCGTGTGGGGGTGCCGCGCTTGGCGCACAGCTACGCCGAACGTAATCTAGGTGAGTTGGTGCTGTTGACCGTGGGTGGATATCGCCCGGTGAGATAGTGCCCGCGTAATCTTAGTATGTTTGAATGGTACGTTGGACGTTGTAAGCAGAGTTAATTTGATGCTTGTGCGTGGCAAAAAGAAAACGAAAGTTACATCAGCGGCTTTTGACCACCCCGCGGTGTTTGAGCCTCGTCTTCAGTATTTTGTCGTTTGTGCGTTTTTTAAGCTCTGTTGCAAGTGATCAAGTTCCTGTTATCCAAACAACTTGACGGGACGAGCATGCTTAATTTTGTCGTAATTTGTAAACAGTCTGTATTGCCAAAGTTTGGTGCATTTATAGGCGTTGGCAAAACTTTGCGTATTTTTTTTTAGAGCAAGACTTCTTCCATCGAAGATGTTCCATGTTTCAATGTGTTTTATTGATAAGAACTGGCTTAAAATCCCATGTGCCCATCTAAATTTCCACAAAGTTCCGCGTGTGGGCCTGTTTCTAACATTGGTTTGCCGACGGTTTCATTTCGTTGAGGGGGATGGGAGAAGCGTCACAATGGTATGACAGCTAGCCAGTAATGTGAAGGGCAAACCCCTGGTGAGGAAATTACGGAAGAAAGCATCGACATGGGCTCTATTTCGAAGGTCAAACCGTTGCAAAAGTAGGACAGCATGCCGGCATGCTCCCCCCCCCCCCCCCTGTTGTAACCCCTGAGGCGACCAAAGGGTTATACCATGCTGTGGTTGTTACGTTTTTTTCGTCTGGATTTGTGTAGCTACCCGTGGCTCAGAGTTATTCGCCGCGTCCAACATTTGGCAGTATTTGGTCGCCACACTCCGTGATTGCTCGCACTATTTCACGCGAAGTGTAATTCGAGCCTGCGAAAGTGCGCTCACCTTGATCGGTGAAACCCTGCACCATTTGCATTGAGCGAAGGGCCGTGGGATTATAGCAGCGGTCCATATCGCTTGAACCGTTGGATATCGGCCCAGGTTCCCACCGCTGGATGCCGGCGGTCACAGACAGCGCTCGGTGAACGAAAGTGCCGGCGGTAACCGGCGCAAACCGATGCCGGTGCTGGCGTGGGCTGACCGGGTAGGGGGGGGGGGAGGAGAGATGGGGAGGGGCGATGGGGGAGAGGCAGCTGGCCCCCGAACCACAGACGACGCGTCACGGGGCGGGTCGGTGAGCCTGTGCCCTGGCCACTGAGTCAGCGGCCCGTCCGGCACCGCCTCGGCCCGGGCCGCGTGGGTCGGGCCCGGCCCTGGCGCCGGCCGGCGTCGGTCCGTTATCGCGGGCGCGCTGTGGTCGCCGCCGGGCCGAGCCGGGCCGGGCCGATACGGGACGCCCGCGGCCCCGGACGCGCTCCGTCGCTGGTGGGAGTCGTACCGCCGTGCCATCCGGACCAGCGGGCCACCGGGCGCCCACCGCCGCACGGACGGCGCCGCGTGGGCACCTTATGCAACGGCTCGGGCAGCATAACGCGGCTGACGGAATAAACTGGATCTTGGGCGGTGCGACTGAATCTATTTTGCATTTGTTTCTTGGATTAAGGCTTGCCTGCACCGAAGTTACCCTATCCGTTGCAGCATATCCTTGTGCTTGTGCTCAGCTCGGACAATCGAGTCACTCTACGGTTGCATTTAGAGGCTGAAATCATCGCATAGGTACATTTCTGACGTGTGACATGACACGTACTGTACGTGTACGTTTCTGATAAACTGACGGTTTGGGCAGTGAACACTGTCATACCCACGCCTGATGCAGCTAGAAACATTCACGGCTCATGTTTGAATGCTGTGTATTTCGTACACTGTTCTATTTGAGGACACTGTGCTATCAATAGTTTTGGGCCTAAGATGCCAATGCTTTATGTTGTATGTCGGTACCTGCGATGCACATTAATCGTCAGATATCTGTGTTGAGTTCTTTTGTCATTCTTTGGGGCAGTTTCAGTATGATCTTTGCAAATTGTGATACCAATTTACGTGCTCATTATTGCCCTTGCTGGAATTCCGCCGCCCTGAAGTCTCATAAGCCATCAATTCGGAGGAAATAGCAGATGGCTTATACCGTAGCGTGCTATTACCGTGCATAAGATGCTTGGAATGAGGATTGCTGGTTCTGAGAAGTTCCTCTTACATCAGTGGAAGCGTTCCACAGTGATGATTGAACCCAGGCGATTTTTCCGGACTGTTTTGAGCTTCCCAAAGGGACTTAACGTACGACGCTTTGATATTTTCTGCAGTGGTGTGTGTGTCGCGCACTGCGTCGTGGTTTAAACCGGCGTTTCACGGGCGCTGGGCAGCCTCCGAAGATACCACTGAGTTAGCTGTAGGTAATGTATCTCAGCGGAGCGGATGGTGACTCCATCGCCGCTTTCCATTCTTGACGTGAAATCGACCGGAAAATGAGATGACCTCCAAACGTGACCCGTGACCCGCCAGATCTGAATTAGAGCCACAGCTCCAATCTGTCTTGTATGTGATCGAATTCCTCCAAGTGCGCTTCCGCATCTCTCCCCTTACGTTGGTATGCTAGGATTTTTCCCGGGACACTTGGTCAGATATACAATCAAATTGATAGCTGTGAGAATCAGTCCAGCGTTGGGGTAAACTCGATAGAACAAAATCGAGGCGTCTCTGAGTTATTTCTTGTCATTTGGCTTCCACGCAAGGCAAATTACCAATTTGCCATTGACAGCGGGAGGGGGAGAAGAATGGGCAGAGGTGGAGAGGGGAAGGGTAGCAAAGAGGATAGAGGGTAGTAAAATTTCCCTTACTGGCTCTGGTTCCGTCATGGGTATGCAGGATAACATGCTGGCAAAATTACCGAAAAGTGCTCAGTGAACTGCTGCTGACATATTTGGTTTCTAAGGCCCTCTAGAATGTGCGGTGTTTGTAAACACTTGTCCGTAACAACGTGTCTTTTACACGTGGGTCATATTGGCTTTGGTCGAAGAGAACTTAATAAAGGCGGAATTGCGACGTGATATCGCAGTCAGTTTTGTTGAATATTTTGTCAAAATGGTTCACTCCTGTGTGTGCTTTGTTTGGTACAAAGTTCACTGGGTGCCGCTTTACGGTACGGTATAGCGCTATTTTATTGTCCTCAACCTTATCATCTTTGTTGCAGGAATTTGATGACGGAGCTGCTGCTTTAAAACAGGTGAGTTCAACGCAGCACGTCAGCAACTGCCGCGACAGCAACAGCAACTGTCAACTGCCGTGACATCGTCCGGTGTTTTTGTATTGTTGCTTGCGTTTCTCTCGCATACCTGCAGTTATAATATAATGGTGTAGTGTTAGAAACTGTGTGGAAAATAGCATTCCATTATACTTGCCTAGAATTGTTCTTTTCTGGCTTGTTTCACTCGCGGGAAACTTCCAGTTTTCCTTAATTGGTGTCGCGTTCGAAAGGCTCCTCGCATTAAATGCTCGCTTGAATTGCGTTACCTGAAATATTGACACGAATTCGTCGATTTAATATTCCGTGTATGGGGCGAGTGTTCAGGGGGTGGCGTGGGGGTGGTCGTGGGATGGGTATAAACGTTATATTTAGCATCGCCCCGTCCAAATGTCACATGGGCATCATTGGCTTCACCGGGGGGGATAAAGTGAGAACATATTTGTGGGCATGTCTTTACACAGACCTACGTGTGCGAAGCGTACTAAAGTATCCTAAACTGGTCAACATTTTAAAAATTATTTTCATTTCTGCAACGGACGTGCTTATTTCGTATAGCCGAAAGCCACGGTCATTGCTGCGTGCCTGGTGTGCCAGGTCCCGCTGTCCGTGCGTGATGAATGGTATGAAAACGTAGCACCCTTGTATGTTGTTTTGAACTGAGAATGACAATTTTGTACAGTTACGTTTTGCACGAATGTGGCTGAAAACTCACCATTTTCTGAGCCTTCGAGCAAAAAGTTGATTTTGCTTTTTGCTTCGAACATGACACGAGTAATCGCGTTGCACGCGTACCACCGAAGGATCATACTCAGTGCAGTTCGTAGTCCTGTCCCTCTCAAGGCCTAAAACCCTATAGTTTCTGTGTGCATATCTGTTCAATGTTTCTGTTCAGTATGTGCGTACTATTTCATGCAGACCATTTCAAGGCCATTCAGGCATGCATGATGCCATAGCAACGCATTCAAACCCGGCCACCCCATAGGTCATGCGACGTTCGCGGTTAAGAAGAATATTATCGTCGAACCGCCCAGATCTGCCGTCCGTGTACACGATTTCCCGACATAATGAACGTCGATTGGCTCACAGTCAGTGTTGAGCAAGCTGCGCAACTAATCACAAGGTTGCTGGTATTAGAGCCGTTTTAACCAGAAATGATCATCTCAGGACCATAGGATGAAGGAGAATGAGTAACGGCGGGGCAGGAGTACATGCGCCCCGGGGGGCCAACCGCCAAGGACCCTTTTTTAGCCCGCGCGGGGACCCTTAGAAGTGCGCGCTGGACACCTGGTCGGGGTTCCCCTTCCCAGAGTCACATCGGCCTGCTCGTGGCTGGCGCATGCACCCTGGTCCGGATAAGCGGGGCGTCGCGAACAGACGGAAAGAAAGAGGATAGGAGGGTCGGGCCAGTCGCATGTGCCAAGCGAAAAAGTTGACTAGCGCCATTACCGACTATGTGAATGTAAGTTAACTTCTTACACCCACGGATAGATATGTAAGAACACCGCGAGAAAGGGCCAAAACACGAGCACATAGCGATATTTAGGTCAGCGAACGCTTGTAGGACCTAACTGTTATCTCCGGCGACTTTTAAATGCAAGTAAGTGACAGGGTGGTAAATTTGCACGGCTAGTCTGGCAGCACCTCAACGTCATACAGACGTCCCATCACGCAATCAAGCAATGCCATGTTGAGGAACACGTTTAAGCATATCGGTGCTTATAAGTGAGCCTATTTCATCAAATCTGTTGCTTGCTTATACACCTTATATATCCTATATATATATATATAGAAATAAATATATATATATACACATATATTTATTTATTTATTTATTATTCCGTAAGACTGTCCCGTAACAACACCCATATCAACGTTGGTTACCTTCATTGTCTCAGGGTATCGTTTGACTGATGCGATGTTCTCTGGGTGACAAAAGCGCGTGTTGAAAGGGTCTTGTTGGGACTTTCACCAAACAAGTTACGGTATCGAAATTTATCAGATATTTTCCACCTCAGCTCATTTACTTCAAACAAGTTCGTGCAGGGTGAGTGGATTGAAGGACCAAGAATTCCTTTGTGTTGATGCAAACAGGATGGAAATAGTATCCGAACAATCAGCACATCGAACTCAGCGAGGCTTCGCCGTGCATATTCATGTGACGCGGAGAAATGACACCGGCGAAGAACAGGTCGGCCTGCTGCGCTGCAGACATCTTGATAAGGGTTGGAGATTCAGTCGGCTGCAACAGTTTCTGCCGCTTTCTCGATTTGATCGTCTTCTTACCGATTAGAATGAGCTAAAACTGGCGGAATTTCAGTGGCCATTATATCCTGTTAACAAACTAAACGTAACGTTTTGCATGGCCGACTTTGGGATCACAATGCTCGCTAAGCTTGAATTGTTGCGAGGGCCCAGGGCCCATCTGTCTAGTAGACCAATTTCAGTGCAGTGGACAATTGCGGCCAAACTTTTAACGTGACATGCAATAGCATGACACGGACGCCCCGTTGCAGCCTGACACTCTCGTGGTCACTTGTCAGTGGGCCGCCTCTGACGAGCTGAATAATCAAGCTAAATTTCTGGGAGGCGGACCTTCATAGGCTGGCACATCAGTGGTCCGGGGTTCAGCACTCTGCCGGCTGAGTTATTTGGACGGTGATTATGTTTGCATCCATTATGTCATAACATAATAAGAATGCTCCTTATTCGGCCAAAAGAACAGCAACATCACGCTGGTATACGAGTGACATGATTAGAACACATGGGGTCGTTGTTATAATTGGTGCATGAATTAGCATCTGAACCGCTGCCCTACTACCATTGACCATGGCTTGGATGCTGCATGACCACTCCAATAGGCACTTGTAACACGACGCCACTCAGGGTTATGAATTCATTATCCCGCCGTAAACAAAGTTGTGTAACATGCAAACGGACTCCAGAGGTAATGAGCGCAGTCAAATCTACCTCGAGCTAAGGGATACTAGAGCATACTGTTGGGCTGAAAAAGCCTGCCATGAAGATCACACTTTACTCCCTTTCCATTTTGCCCATGAATGGTCATCATGCAGTTTTTTCAGTCACTTTGCGTTACTATCGGATGAGTGCTGTGTTTAAAAAAAAACAAATTATGACTTACGTAGGTTATGGAGTTCTTGCTATCAGGTGTGTGCTATGTTTTTGAACAGATTTTGACTAACGTAAGTTATTAAGTGCATTTGCGGGGGACATTATTCGCGTGGGTGAGGCAGTAGTAATAGCCGTGTTCCTCGGAGAAAATCAGGAGAATGGAGATGTAAACGCACTCATGCCTCGGCAACATGCCTTTATCGGAACAATAGCATCAGTAAATTCAAAATTGCTTGCCGATGATCCTACCAGATTTTTAAGTTTCTTTTTTCAAACAGCGAGCCACAAAAGCTGGCTAAAATTGTAGCAAAGTGTGGCAAAACCCGTGGAATAAACTATGGAAAAACTGTGACTTGCCATTCCAAATTTATGTCTCTATGCCCACGTTTTTCTCCGAGGAATAAGGCCCTTACTACTGCCTGATGTATGGAAATTTTGACTCACTGAGGCGAAGGCTGTGTGAATTATTGGATCGCGGTTTCTGCCATGTGCGACGGCGAATAAATTTGGATCGAGTTGTGTGAATAGCAAGTCTCTCATCTTTTCGCCCCCTTTTCTTAAACCTTGCAAATGGTTTCTTTTGTCGGGACAAGTGGTTTGCGATATTATCAAAAATATGCTCAAGGCAGCTTGGACGTTTCCAGAGATGATGTTGCTCGCTACTTGAAAGACATTGGGTTGGCACGATCGCCCGTTTACAACGCTAGACATCTGGAGACTAGAGGGCATGTTCGCGACACGCCTAGCAGACAGACTCGGTGTCCCAGCTCTGCAGCAAGTTCTTTTCCAATTAATTTAGTTTCTATGAAAGACAAAAGTTGACTTCCAAAAGTACTTGAACATTGTCCAAAAACATAGAACTGATCCGCTATCATAAATTTTGCCATATAGCTAGCTGTTAGAACTTAAAAGTCGCATCGTTATGTGGTAGGAGTTCACTGTCATGTGCAGGGAAATTGTGTAGATAACAGTCTTGTACGTTCTGATGGTTTTGATCATAATTGTCTGCTTTGCTGTGACGGGACCAAGTCCTAAATGGCCGACAAATGGCCGTAAATGACTCAGGTGCTTGCTGCCAAGTGCCCAGGGCTGCAGGGCTGATCAAAGTTTGCGTCACCCTGTTTTTCTAAGGACAAGCCGGCTGGGAGAAACTGTCAGCTGCCGCTGACCCTGTCCTTGGTTCAGAAGTCTCCCATGTCTGTTTTGTGCTTGTGAAGCGTTAGGCAAACCGTGTATTTGCGGCACATTCCTCGTGACGATCACGTTGGAGGGTTAAGCGTGGTCATTTCAGGTTGATAAGCATTGACGTCGCTTGGGTGGGCCTGATGCCACTTTGACGACCTGCGCACAGTTGTTAAGGTTGGATCGATATCGGCGTGCGAAAGTCAGACAGTGTGCAAGCCAGCGCGCCCGGCATGTGTGGTTCTCAAATCGCGAGAGATGACCGTGATTCTTGCTGCACGACATGCCGGTATCTCGTCATTCGAGAACCACGCACGACTGGCGCGCCAACTGGCGCACTACCAGACTTCTCACATTTGAATCTCCCAGACTGCCGCATGCATAGTAACGCTGGATCGCATGACATCCAGCCGGTATTGTGCAAAAAGGAGAAGTGTGGAGATTCGGCCGCCTCAAAAATTGCCACATTGAAGAGGAAAATATCGTACAGCTTGAGCGCGCGGGGACATCTATTTTGAAATCACACCACAAGCCGATTCACGCCATTTCTGGGCATGACATGGTAAGTATCTGACATGGAATACTTGTGTAAGCACGGAATAATTAGGATTGATTGATTTTACATTGGACTCGTTTTTCCAACCTTGTGTTGGCCGACGCCTTCGCCC